CCAGGCCCAAGTGATTCTCCTACATCAGCCTCCCAAGTAGCTGGGACTTCAGGTGCATGCACCATGCTGGGCTAATTTTTCTATTTTTTTGTAGAGATAGGGTTTCACAATGTTGCCCAGACTGCTCTTGAACTTCTGGAGTCAAGCAGTCCACCTGTCTTGGCCTCTCAAAGTGCTGGGATTACGGGCATGAGTCACCACATCTGGCCAAAAAATACTATACTTTGAAGCAAAACTGCATGTATTATTGCACAAATAAGTTTTATGTTTTAAGGAAATCTGCTTAAAATTTTTTCACAACATGTTAACCAGAAACTTAAATTAATTTTTCTTGCATTATTTAAACATTAAGAAAGAACACATAAACCCACCATTTAGCAAACCCATACTCCCAGTTCCCTGATTCTGCTCAAAGTTTGAGGTAAAAGTTGGAGTGCTTGCTTTCTTAGTGCTTTCCAGTCTCCTACTGACATGATACATCACATCCACTGATGGTTGTATTGTATTTGCTCTCCCTGTGGAGTACCCGATTATAGGAAGCCAGTCATTTGATTGGGAAATAGAATATGTAATCAAATTCAAAATATAGGCTGATCGATTGACCACGAAATGTGTAAGGGAGTCAGATGAATATCATTCATGGACATTTTGTTGGTTCTAGGTCTCTGCTGTTGTGAACAGTGCTGCAGTAAACATATGTGTGCATGTGTCTTTGTAGTAGAATGATTTATAATCCTTTGGGTATATGCCCAGTAATGGGATTGCAGGGTCAAATGGTATTTCTGGCTTTAGATCCTCAAGGACTTGCCACACTGTCTTCCACAATGGTTGAACATTAGTTCAACGCACCAACAATGTAAGTGTTCCTATTTCTTTACATCCTTTCCAGCATCTGTTGAGAAACCCATGCTTAAAAAATGATAATAAGATTAAAACTTTTGGTTGCCAGTTAAGGTCTCAGTTCGTTAATAATGACTTTATGACCAAAAAAAACAGTGACATGGATGTCTTTGAAATGTCTTAATATGTTGGCCTTCAAATTTTTTATTATCAAGGAAATTATAGTGCAGTCCTGGTTGAACTGGTTTGGAAATTCTTATAACTCAGTTCCTCAGAAGTATCAACTGATTGTATTGCATTTAGATTCATTTCCTTTCAAAAGCTACTTAGGAAACAAATTAGTGCTCAGAGCTGTTTACACTTGTAAATGCAATTAAAATTGAAAAGTCAGTTGGGAAACTCACTGGGATCTCTTGATAAGAGCAGCGGTTGTTTCTACTATAATAATTTGAACTGGTGAGGTAAAATAAATAACTTCAAGAGTTTATAAAATGATATGTGTATTACCATGCACATTAAGTAAACTATTCACGTTATTTTCTAGATTAAAAAGTAATTTTTTTCAAGTATATGAGGTAGTCAGTGTATTATATTCTTTGAAGTTTTTGTTTCCTCTGCTACTGCCATGCGGGATATTTTTAAATATGCTTATAAAACAAATGTTTCCAATTGAACTTTAAAAACTAGTCAAGTTTTTAAGTTTTAGTATAACTGACATAACTAAGGAAATTAAAGGTACATATCTAAATGAATGAGCTACAGTTAACATAGAACAGTCTTCTAGTATATGTTCTGTTTGTAAATTTCTATTTTAAAAATATATAATCGAGGAGAAATTCATGATTTTCTTTGGCAGATTGATGCCACAGGAATGCCATTTCTGTATCAGTGCCACTGATAAGTTCTTTAGACTAATAGCCCATTAGACTAAATACAGGAGTAACTTCACTGAAAGATGCCTTTAATTACCCACTGAGCAGCGTGGCAGAACTGCACATTCTGGTTCCCTTGCCAGGAGAGACCTTGTAAGGGACCTTGAGTGATAATTGGTTTGTTTTTGCTGTTTTAAAATATAATTTTAATTTTCTTTTATGTATTTAACTGCTTTTGAGTACCCACTATGTGCCAGGCATTTTGACATTGAGAATATGTATGAGTAAGATAGATACGGTCTGTATTTTTCACAAAAAGTACATTTTGCCAGAAATACAGGCCAGGAAAGAGGCAATTATAAAATCTGGTGTAATAAACTCAGATGTTTGGGTTAGTCAAGGCTTCTTAAGGGAAATGAGAACTAGGCAGGAGGGGATGATAATCATGACTCAAATTTGTAGTGGGAGTGGTACTGGAGTGAAGCAGAAGGATTTAAGATCTTGTAGGTGCTAGATTTTATGGGGGAGAAATCTGTTAAGATGGTCAGCAAAATATCCAAGATTGCAGGGAGTGAAAAGCTTTCAAGGAGGACACCCAGGTTTCTTCCTTGAGTGGTTGGTGTTGCCATACTCAGTAAGAGGATCAGCTTTAGAGTTGTGTGGTGAGAGAGGAAGAGGAGTTAATGTTCAGTAAGGTGAGTTTGGGGAGCCAGTAGGTACATCTAAGTAGAAATTATATTACATGAAACATTAAGAAGAAACAGTGGCTAAAAAACTTTACAAGTCCACATTATTGTTCAGATATTTATTATACTGACCTGTCGTTGAACATCTACAATACATCAGAGAATTAGTTATTTAATGTAATTACTTTTTCATCTTGTTTTAATATAATTTCTGGAGTTTCTGTATAAATGCTAAAAAACCTACAAAATTTAACAATATTAATTACTTTCTATAGCCTAGTTCACAACCTTTTTTATATGCTGAAGAATTTCATTTCATATAAATTGGAGGAGAAACTTCTATTTCAACTAAATCATTGTTACATAGAGCTGAGGCAGTAGACTGAGAATGAGACCATTTACTGTTTTGAGGAATTAGCTAACCATCTGTTGGCAACAAGACCTAAAAGAGTTTGCAGAGAATAGGGGAGCTCTTTAATAAATGCTACAGTTAGTAATAGGCAAGTTTCAGGTTCTCTCTGCATACTGGTGTTTCCCAGAAAAGTAAGCATTGGAAACAAATAGCAGAATGCAACCATTTTTGCTTTGCGATAACTACTATTTTTGTCTTATTACCTAAAATGTGTAATAAAACTTTTAATAAAACAGGGCTTGTGAGTTTCCTTTTTATGACAATTTACCAGTTTTGAAGATGTATATACTCTATTATCAAATAAAGCTTTGAGAATTATCCTGTACATATTCTAATGTTGCTGGAAATTTGACCTAATCAGATAATAACTGGTAGAAATGTATACATGTTCACAATTGCGGTACAAGGAACAAAGTAGTAAATAAAATGTGTATTAAATTCTGTTTAAGTTTCTAACAATTTTTGTGCTAATTGGAAGAAACGAGGCTCAGATATTTAAGTTTACCTCGTGAAAGTAGTTGTTTACATGTGTTAATAATATTAATGTGTTTTAGAGGTCTGTTCACATAGCTTACAGTTACTGTTGAGGGAACTGATAACCAATTTAACACTTGGTTTTGACAGTCTCACCAAGTCCCACCATTGGCTGATGTTATATATTTTTTTTAAAAAATTAGGCCGGGCACAGTGGCTCACGCCTATAATCCCAGCACTTTGGGAGGCCAAGGTGGTGGATCACGAGGTCAAGAGGTCGAGACCATCCTGGTCAACATGGTGAAACCCCGTCTCTCCTAAAAATACAAAAAATTAGCTGGGCATGGTGGCACATGCCTGTAATCCCAGCTACTCAGGAGGCTGAGGCAGGAGAATTGCTTGAACCCAGGAGGCGGAGGTTGCGGTGAGCCGAGATCGCACCATTGCACTCCAGCCTGGATAACAAGAGCGAAACTCCTGTCTCAAAAAAAAAAATTAATATTTACAAGTATGTTAATACTTGATTTCATACCATTAAAGTGCAAATGCTTCATTATCTTTCTTTTAGTAGACTTTGGAGTTCACATAATAAAATCACTGAGTTCAGTTTTCAAAAGCAAAGGATTAATTACAGAATGTATTTTTTTCTGATGAATCAGCTAAAACTTTTTTTTAAACTAGCTCCTGAGTGGCTCTCCACTTACTCCATTTAAAAAGCTAAGCTGATTTAAACTGTTTAGTTCTGGCAGACATAAATTTTTAGGTCCACATTCCTGATTCACCTTCAATATAAAAGTAGCACTGTTTGACTTTAATAATATGATTTGAACTTATAAAAATGTGTGAATATATTCTGTATTTTGAAATGTATTTTATATTTGAAAAGATATTCTGTATTTTTAAAAAACAAGGTTGCATCTGCATAAACTAAGTTGGGAGATATGAAAGTAATATTAATATTTCTGTTATTTGTGGTATATAATGAATATTTGTGAGTTGAGGAATTACTGGCTATTGGATCTTGACAGATGGAATTTACTGCTATATGAAAAATGATTGTGTATTATACATTTTTTCTAGGATATAAAATTATAAGGTTTTAGTAAGTATAAAACGGAAACGTGAAAATTGTTAGATGCTTTTTCTTAAAAAATAAATCTAAATAGTTTATTGAATTTTTTACTTTTGTTAATTTGTAATTTTCTGGTTCTGGTTTATTTCTCTCCAGTTAAACATAACTCATAATTTAGGAACGTGATTTACTATGTTTTGGAGAGAAAAAAAACTTGTTGAGCATTTCTGTTATTGAACCTTATAATATTATAGACATTTTTACAAGTGTCTACTTGAGAAGTTTTAATGAAGAAAGCGCTATAATGTAAAGGCCAAGAATCTGTAAAGGAAAATTGCTGGGTTCAGTAGTAGTTTTTTATATTGTGCGGTAACATCTCTGGGCTAAGATTAAAATTGAATAATTAAGTTCCTTAGAAAGGTTCTGCTATTCATAAGAATTTAATATTACTGAATATAATAAGTTAAATTGAAGCAGAAATTATTAGGCCACATTGTATATTAATACTGATATTCTTTAGCATTTTTCTTCTAATTCACAGACTATCAAAGACGCTGATTTTACTAAGATTTGTATATTCTTAAAGTGATTTAAAGAAGAAAACACAATTCTTCAAGTCTTCTGTCTCTCTTTTTCTTCCATAGGAGTACCAAAGTCTAATCTCTTGCACACCAAATCATTAAGGGGCCATAAAGACTGCTTTGAAAAATACCATTTAATTGCAAACCAGGGTTGTCCTCAATCTAAGCTTTCAAAAAGTACTTATGAAGAAGTCAAAACCATTTTGAGTAAGAAGATAAACTGGATTGTACAATATGCACAAAATAAGGATCTGGATTCAGGTTCTGAATGTTCTAAAAACCGCCAGCATCATCTGTTTAATTTCAGGCATAAGCCAGAAGAAAAATTACTTCCACAGTTTGACTCCCAAGTACCAAAATATTCTGCAAAATGGGTAGATGGAAGTGCAGGTGGCATCTCTAACTGTACACAAAGAATTTTGGAGCAGAGGGAAAATACAGACTTTGGACTTGCTATGTTACAAGATTCAGGTGCCACTTTGTGTCATAACAGTGTATTGTGGTCTCATAGTCACAACCAGGCACAGAACAAAGAAGAGACAATCTCTAGTCCAGAGGCTAATGTCCAGACCCAGCATCCACATTACAGCAGAGAGGAATGTAAGTAAAATGGGGAGAAAAGTAAAAGTTGGGTGGTTTGGGGTTTTTTTACATTTGTATAAATGTATAATGGCTCAAGAATTTTACTGTGGAATTGTAGATTTGGTAAACATTGTATTTAAATAACAGGTTCACCTTAGCAAAAATGAGATATCTTAAAACTTTTCATTCACTGGAATTCTCCTATGTTCTAAGCATTGAAGTTAGGCAGTTTCCATGTTTGTTGTGCCATTCATT